AATTATCTTGTTTAATTACTATAATATCAATATTAAAAAATTCTTTAATCATTTGATTAAGTTTAATTAAACTTAAATGACAGTGCAATCCTTCTTCATCATATAAAAAAGCTATTCTTTTATCATCAATTTGTTTTAATATTATCAAAGTATCATTTAAAACACCACCATATAATTTATTATGTTCAATTTCTTTGAAATGAAATATCTGCCCACAAAACAAAGTTTCTTTCAGATTTAAAGATATGTTTTTAAGTTCAATAAAATTCTCTTCTTTAAAATTTTGCTGATTTTCTTTCATTTTTCACCCCAAAAATTTAATGGATAAACAAATTGAGATTTGTTCAGAGTTTATAGTTGGATGTTGTTTAAATGATGAATTTATGTGTGGTGAAATTACAAAAAAGTGTCTTAAAGAACATGATAACACACTCAAGACTGAATATATGAATGATAAGAAAATTGATAGTTTTTACTTAACAGATGCACTTGCATCATTTGAATTAGTGATTAACGACGTAAACATAAAAATTAACAAACACAAGGAAATGCTTAAACCTAAAATTTCTAAAAATATACTCACTGCAATTAATAATGTTCAAGAATTGATAGAATCTGCTAATGTTGATAACTTTACCACAAATTATAATTTATTAAAAATACACGGTAAGTTAATTGAAATGGCTGATAATAATCAAACAGAAGTTAATTTTTTTGTTTGTGAAAACTGTGGAGTTTTTACAATAAAGAAAGGTGAATGTGTGCATGCATTCTGTCAAAGTTATAAGAAGATTAGAAATCTTATTTTAGAATTAAAGGCTATAAAAAGTATTGGAAAGTAAATTAAATTTATTTTTTAATTTTTTTCATTTGATTTAAAAACTGTTTAATGATTTCATCATCAATATATTTAAGAGTAGGAATTAAAGCTCTAACTTCAACAACAGTAGAAGGAAACAATGACAACAATGAAGATATATCATCTCCTTTCAAGTAAAACTCCTCCTTAAGAAGTTTCTTCAGATTCTCCAGATCTTTGGAATTTTCTATCTGATTTAACTCTCTAACATATTCAAAAGTCTCTCTGAACACAATTGCTCTATTTGAATTATTATATTGATATCTATGTTTTATTTCATTCATAATATGATAAACTTCTGGTATTGACGCTTTTCTATTCTCTTCTCCCAATTCAAACATTTTTATTAAAATTTTTGAGATTAAAAAATAAATAAAATTTAAATGTTTTTTAAACTTCTTTAAAAGATTTAAAATTTCTATTTATAATTAGTATTTAAGTAATATAAAGTTAAAATTAAAAATTTTTGATAAATTTATGTTTGAAAATACTAATAACATCAACATATAAGGCATATGACATATTTCATGAACCTTTAAAACACATTAGCGATAAAAATATTTGAATTAATTTATAGAAAATATGATGAGAAAATGTAAAGTTAAAATGAGAATATAAACACTATAAAAGATATTTAATGAAAAATACAGCCTTTGAATTTAAACAATGTTGAATATTCTTAAGAAAGTGATTAAATAAAGTTGATTACTAAATCTTTAAAAGGTTGTATTCAAATATCTACGACTTTGCTTTGAAATAAAATTACGGTTTATTAACTATTTTTAGTGTTTGGTATGTATGAAAAAATGTAATAAGTTAGATATTGGTTCATAAGAATTTTTCGGAAATAAAAAAATATTATAGTTAATAGTGTTAAAAAATTAATATAAAAAACACAAAAATTGTTTGAAATTTTTTATCTTTTTATAATTTGATAAGGTAGTTGATAATTAAAATAAAAATAAATTTAAACTTTTTAAACATTATTTTTGAAGATTTTTAACATACTTTAATGGGCACTGTTTTGATTGATGCCTCATTTTTTAATTTTAACCCGTAAATTGGATTGGTGCTACAAAAACCGATTGGCTCCCCATAAATTATTATAAGAAAAAATATTTATAACAATTAATTTTATTAATAATTCTTCCCTAATAACTTCATATAAACTTCAAATTCAGAACCCTTATATTGGTACCAAAAGCAAAAAAAGCTTTAATGATATCATAAGAGTAAAATTCCTGTCCTTCTTTTATTCTTCGTTATTTTGAAATTCGCATAGTTTTATATACACTCAATCAACCAGGTGTGACATCCAGTTTTTGAGTCTATAAAATTCTCATTATAGTTTACCACGTTGTGGTCATAGAAAAAAGAGTTTAGACAATGGTATGCTTTTTAAACATCTGAGACTATAACACTTTGTGTGTCCACATATTTAAGCAACAATGGCAACAAATGTCCCTATCTCGTTTCTCTACAAGAAACACCTTAACTTTCCTTGAGCCTTGCTCTGACATTCTAAAAATCCATGATCCATCAACTCTGTAACCAAAGTTGTTAGTGTGATTGTTAATCCCATTACTCTTCATGAAATTATCAAATAGAAGTCTTCTTTGGTTGTAATTTCGACGATCTCTAAAAAGAAAATCATCTATTTGTACAACTTTCCCCGGTCTTCCTAATTTTTCACTCATAATATAATTATGAGTTTCTAATCGGATGAAATTAGTCTAGTTGGTCACTGTATCAGTTTCTTTAATTTGGGTTGCTGTCATTATGTATGATACTGTTCTTTCTTCAAAAAAAGAAAGATAAGTGACACATTCTGGTGAATGATTAAAATAATTGGTACTCCTTCGATTGGGGCCCTGGGCCCCATGAGGAGAAATACCAGAATTTTTCGATTTGGGGCCATATACTATTTTTAAGTTATATGTTTAATAAAAATAAAAAATATTTATTTAAAATAAAATTTAAGATGAAAAAAGCTTTTACATCTTTGAAGCAAAATTTTTAAGAATAAAGAAAATATTTAATGTTATAAAAATAATTTTTTAATTAAAATATTAAATCAATTATAAAAATAATTAAAAACTTACTTTATTTAGTAATCTCAATACCACTATCCTCTTTTTTATATTGTTTAACTATTGATTCTTTAAACTTAGTCAATAATTTCATAAAAATAATAAAAAGGTTAGCCTCATTGTATTTATAACAGAAACAAAAGAAAGAGATTTGACTTTGTAATAATTGCAATGTAGTCCCCTTCTGTTTCTCATAATAAAAAATTTGGCTTTCCCTCATACACTCTCAATTAATTGAGTATGGCATTGGATCTCTGGGTCAATAAAAAACTTCGAATGATTCACTGTAAAGTGTTTTTTGAAGTTTTCATTGGCCCTACCATAAGCCCTCCAGCAGTCAGTATGAATGGTTGAGTGGGAGTATACACGCTCTTTTAAAATAAGAATGAGTGTTTCAGTTTTTCTTCTTGTTTACAACCAGCATGTAAACATCTCTGGTTTTATCATCAATAAACCCGAACACCCAAGGATCTTGAACTCTGTCACCATAATTATTTCTCTTGTTGAGATTTGAGTTCAATCCTAAGAAGTCTTTGAAGAGAAGTCTTCCTACATTATTCTTTCGATGACCACCAAATAACGATTCATCTACTTGAATTACATATCCCATACCTCCTATTTGTTTAGATGTAATAACCCAATGAGTTACTTCTCTAACATAATTAGTAAAGTTGACAATTGTCTCATCTCCTGTTATTCCTGATTTCAGTTTCATCTCACGATGTGGTTGATCTTTAAAATAACAAAAGATGAGCTTTACTATCTTTTGAACTGGTATTGCAACCCTGCTTTTACCCTTTTTTTCATAAGAAAAGAATGTATTTTTAAAGAGAGACCACTCTTTATTACAGGGTCTGCAACGGAGGAGGAAGCTGTCACAGTACTTCTTTCTTCTCATCCTTAGGAATGCGGGTCCTTTGCAATATATGCATCGCCATTCGTCCTTGGGTGGTAGCACACCCCACTCTACCATTTTATTTAAAAACATATTATTATCATTCAATAAAATTATTAATTCTTCGAAATTGATGGGTTTAAAAAATGTAAAAATTTTTCATGTTATATATTTTTTAAAAACTACTTTATAAAAATATTCAATCCTTTATTTTTAATAAAAAATTTTTTCGACTACCTAAAAAAATAAATATTTTTTAAAACCTTTATTTAATTAACTTTTTAATTTTTTCAATAAAAAATTACCCTGACCCTAATCGAAGGAATACCATTTTTTGCTTTTGTTACCAATATAAAAGATTAGAGTTTGAAGAATTTATGAAATTCTTATTGTAGAATTATAAAAAATTCTATTAAGATATTTTTTATTTTAATAATTTATGTAGCGCTAATAGGTTTTTGGGGCGCCAATCCAATTTATGGATTAAAACTAATAAATAGGGCGACAATCAAAACAGTGCATATTAACAAATAAAATTATATTTTTTAATGGTGTTATAATAAAAAAATTGATTTGTTTAACTAAAAGGTTTTAAAACAATAAAAAGATAATTTTATTTGATATTTAACCCTCAAACTTGAAACCTGGTTTATTAAATGATAGAAAACAATAAATTTAACACTTGGTCAATTTGTACACTCTACATTAACTTATCCTCAATCCAGTCCCAGTTGTAAATATCAGCTTATACGTTTGTTTCATGTATCAATATATCTTTATCGCTTATAAAACTTTCATTTAACAAATCTTTACTAACCATTTTTAAATATCAAGATTTGATAAAAATTTTTTTAAAATTGTTTAAATTTCCAGTTTGATATACTTATATTATTAACAGTAATTAAAATCTTAAAAAAATAGATTTTAATTCTGGTAAGATTAACTATTTAATATGCTACAAAATAAAATTTTTATATAAAAATAAAATAATGTTTTATTAAAAGTTTAATAAACTTTTTAAGAAAGTTATTTTTCATCAATAAAAAATTCAATTAAGTTTTTTGAAAACTTTAAAAGTGACTCTGTAAAAATAAATAACCATTGTTCCCATTCAATATCTATTATTCTCATTTTTTTTAAAAATTTTCATACGTTTATATTGATCAATATTCTTGAACTTATCATTAAAATTATTTATAATTTTATTAAAATTTTCTTTTTCATGCTTTAGTACCAAATATTCATTTATAAAATTATCTAAATTCTCCTTAAAAATATTTTTATTTTCCTTGCTTTCTTTATAATCTTTATCGTTAATTAGCTTCTTTTCTTCATTTTCATTAAATTCA